AGTATATTAACAAGATCTCCAAAAACAGATAATAAAATACTCCGGGTTCTTTTTAACCGTTAGAAATGGTTAAATCAAAGCCTAGAGATCAACGTAACATACTAAGTCAGTGAAGTCACATATTCAAATGCTGATGGGGTTAAAGGCAGGTAACAAAATAAGGGAAGCAGACTAAGTACAAGGGACAACAGAAGCAGAGAAGGTGCTGAATAGGCAACCAAAAACAACTGCTATTCCGTTCAAGCTGCTGTTGCACACAGAAAATGCATTTACTTCGTTTTCTAATTCATAAAAGACAGATCTCCAGGGTTTTATGAAAGTTATCAACTTAAAACACTGAAAAGAAAATATGCAACAATGAATGAATAAAAATTAAACCAACACTGGTAACAAATGTGCAAACCCTATAAATCCTATACAGGCCAAACAATGCATGTGCGGGCAGCTATCAAGCCTTTGAATGGTCTAATATTCTATTAGACACTTCTCCATTCACTGAAACAAAGGGATACCTGAAGACAGCAGAGGTCAACACTTGTGGATGAGAAACAGCCACATGGAGTAGGTGAAACTTTGCACCAAGTTTCAGAAAATTTTAGGTTCAGGGTAGGTGCGGCCATTTACATCTGGGTGACCTCTTTGAGCTTCAGCTTATTCATCTGTAAAATGAAGTTTCATGAACTATCCTGTCTAATCCATTGAGCTATTATGAGTAATCAATTAGAAAGTAGGACAAAGCACATCATTAACTATAAAGCTCCAAATAAGTAATGCATTTTAAAAGAGATGGAATAATGTAGCCTAAGAACATTTTATACCTTTGTTTAGTCAGTCACCTCACAAAGCAGGAATGTGCTCAAAGAGTTCCTCAAATACACTAAAATTATAAAATCCTTTAGAATGTTAAGTGCTATGTAATTACTTGGTAATAAAGTGTTTGCTTAGCATGAACAAAATTTATTAAAGAAGCTGCATATAGTAATCTCTAAAATGTTGAATCTGTTTTTGACTCTCCTGAAATAGTGAGCACTTTACTGCATCTAGTCTTGAAATTCAGCCAGTAAGGAGGCTCTAGTGGCACAGTGCCTAGTGTGTTTTTCCAACCAAAAGACTCTGGGAGTTTGAATACATCTCTGGAAAAAAGGCAAACCATTTCTTCCCATTAAGATTTACAGACTTAAGAAAAAAAAAGATTTACAGCCTTGAAAACCCAAAGGAGACTCACTCAGTCTAAGTCAGAACTGACTTCAGGGCAGTGAACAAGTTTGGAAAAAATTACTCTAGGTCATATTAAATTTTTCTCCTTCTATTTTAGTATGTTTTTACACAGAGGAAGGAAACACTGCATGGTTCAAAACTGGGAAGGGTGTGCACCAAGGATGTGTCCTATCTCCATATCTTTTCAATCTATATGTGGAACAAATTATCCAGGAGGCTAGACTCTATGAGAAGTGTGGCATCAGAATTGGAGATAGACTCAACAACAATCTGCGTTATGCAGATAACATAACCCTGCTTGCTGAAACCGAGGATGACCTTAAGCACTTGCTGCAGAAGGTCAAAGATTGTGGCCTTCAATATGGATTGAAGCTCAACATCAAGAAAAGAAAGATTCTCATCACTGGGCCAATTGGCAGCCTCATGCTAGATGGTGAAGAGATTGAGATTGTTGACAGCTTCCATTTGCTTGGCTCTACTATCAACACTCTTGGTACCAGGAGCCAGGAAATTAAAAGACGTATTGTGATGGGGAAAGTCAGCCGTCAAAGACCTCTCCAAAGTACTGAAGAGCATGGATGTCAGTCTGGAGACTAAGGTGTGCCTGATACAGGCCAAGGTCTTTGTAATTACTTGCTATGCATCAGAGAGCTGGACAATGACTAGAGATGATAGAAGGAGAATTGACGCCTTTGAGCTTTGGTGCTGGAGAAGAGTAATGAATATCCATGGACTGCTAGGAGAACAAACAAGTTCATGCTGGAGTGGGTGAAGCCAGGCTGTTCCTTGGAGGCAAGGATTCTGAAGCTTTGTCTGACATATTTTGAACATGTTGCAAGGTGGGATCAGTCCTTGGAGAGGGACGTCATGCTTGGGAGGATGGAGGGCAGTGGAGAAGAGGAAGACCTTCCATGAGATGGACTGATTAGGTCACTGGGGTAATGGGTATAGGTGTGTCGAAGACAGTAAGATTGGAAAGGGATAGAACAAGGTTTAGGGATGTTGTACATAGGGTCACTATGAGCCACAGGCGACTCGACAGCACCTAACACCACCACCACAACATGTATTAATATAAGCTGTTATACATCCAGGTTTATCTACTCCCTACTGCTAAAGCTTCTGAAGTACTGGTTCCTATCAACTGGTGATATACAAGCAACAAAAAAGCAATAGAGAGGGCAGAACCAGTAAGCAGTTTAGGGAAATGAGGCTGCTGTTCTTGGCATGTTTCATATTCAGAAGTACGGCTAATAATTCCTCAATCTACTTATTTTTAAGCAAAAATGTTGTGGAAATACTTTTTTAATAACTATTGTTCTCTATCCTGGACCAATACACTATACATGATATCAAGCCAAAGTTAGGTTACCAAAATTATGAGCAACTGTGCTGGGTAAAAATTCCCTATCCTATACTATTTTAAGAGAGTCTTTATTTTTCATTTTCATCAAACCACAATTGATCCAGAAACTCAACAAATCAAACCTTTTCCACTTGCCTATTTCTTGAACATTAATGTAGAAGTGAATTGAATTATAGGAACATGAAAGATTTTTAATGCTCTATTTAAAGTTTTCCTTAAAAATCACATTTCTGGGAAGATTGTCTCTTCACCCTCACCCCTACATTTCAAACACTGTAAAATAATTACATTTTAAAAAATCATATACTCCTAAAAATGCATAAAAGTTGCTTTTCCAGGAAAAGGATTTTTCCAAAGATGTAAGAAAAGAATTCTCACAGTCAAGTTGGTTCATAGGTGCCATTATGGGATCACATAACATCTTTTATGGAAACCTTGAGGGAATCAAGCTCAAAAGTATGATTTAATTATCTAAAAAAAAATACTACTTTGAACCAGTGATGAACCTTTAGATCTTTAACTAATCAAGTAAACTGACTAGAAAATAAAGGTAAAATTACTATCTTTTAAAAGAATGTGAGAAAGTGAGCATCCACCAGATGCTCCGCTGGAGAAGGAGGAGCAATCTTCTCCTGTACCAGTCAGATACGATTTGATGGTACGCAATTATAACAACAGAAAAAGAAAACTGAGAAAGGCAAAAGTTTTAAGGTAGCTGCTTATTTATTTGGGCTTTATTACATTAAAGCACTAATCTTTTAAACATCACTTCTAAATGGAATGATTATACAGAATAGTGATTAAGAGTATGAACTGTGTAATCAGAATACCTAGGTTCAAATCCCAACTTCTTAACCTTTATTACACCCATGAATTCGAGTAGGTAATTTAATCACTATCAGCCTCAATGTCATCATTGTAAAACAATGAGAATAATAATAATTTCAAGATTATGGTAAGGATTAACTGAGGTGATTCATAATTTTCTTTCTCACAGCATATAAACTAAAACTGTTTAACAAAGGTACACATAACAAAATCTGGTCACTTAGATAATTTAAATCATATAGACATTTCAGTGGTATAATACGATTTTGAGAAATTCCATTTGAGAAGGAGTAAATAGTCCACAGTATGTTTCCTTAACAATTATAACAAATTTAACAATGATAGTATCACAACATAATGTTCTAAGTGTCCTTAAAATTAATTCTTAGTGATAAGGAGCCCCAAGTTCTACAGATGTGCTGATTTGACTCTGACTCAAAGTGCCTGTGAAAAATTTTATTTTCACATGTGTTGTTAAATCATGTGAATTTTTATTTCAGACTGACAACTACTTGAACTAAACTATCCTTCAAAAATTTCTAACATTATTATAAAAGTGACCTAACCAAGAAGAAAAATATGTTTAAAAAAAAGCTACAGCTAAAGTGAGAAAAAAACCTGAAATTATATTTATTCTTTAAAATTAGTTTCTGAATATTCACATAATCTTTTCGTTATTTATACTGTACTTCATGACAGTTTGTGTGTATTTTTTTAAAAAATATTGTCAATGTAAATAACTGTGTAGCTCTTAGTCAGCATTAAATAATTATACCAGTATTGGGACACAAAATATTAGAAACGTATTCACATTTTGGTGGATAGACACCCTACAAAATTCTCAATTCTAAGGAGATCCAAACATTAAACAATCATCACTTGAAAACTATCCACAAACAATATTTTACAAAAGACAAATGTTCTGTAGATGACTAATTAAAGAGCTTTTGTTGGATTAGTAACCCAGATTAAAAACGATAGCTCTTAATTTATGTACTTGCATTTAGTGCACCTGAACGTTAATGCAGATTTTTTTTTTTTTTAAAGTTATTGCACTGGAATAAAAAAAAGTTACTGCATTGGAAGTTTAGCATACATCTCATTTCCATTTCTGTGTCAAAATTAGACACTAAATAAAATTCACTTAAACAAAATTCACATTCATTTTAATATTAATGGCTTTTTAAAAAAAAATATTAATGGCTTTTTAAGACCAAATGAAAATTGTTTTAACATCCTGTCTTGAGGAGATAATTCTGCTAACCTACCTGACTCATTTACGAACTTTCCCAGGCATCATCAACCAGCTTTAGAAATCAAGATACACAGCTAGAATGAATGAAAATCTAACTTCTTTGTAAACTTTTGTTAAAATCACAATTAAAATAAAATTTTATTTATAAAAACACATACAGATAATATCAGAGATGACAACTTTTCAGTTAACTTATATGTATATATAGTTAAATCAGTTCCTATATCATAAAGAAACCAAAACTGTACTTCTTAGTTTTTATTTTAATATATCACTGCTATACTAGGGGTGTAACTCCTTATAAAGCAAGCACAAATGTGGCATCAAACTTACTTTTCCAAAGAAGCCTTTGAAGAACTTCCTTTCCTGGAGGAACAGGGGGACAAGTCGAGCACTATTATTGTATAGGCTAAATGTCCCAGGGTTTTTCACACCAATAAGCACAGACAGAAGTTGGGAGAGTAGCAAGGTGGAAGAAAGGGAGGGAGTGAGAATTTTAAAGAATTATCCATACCAGGAGTGACAGAGGAAAAAGGAAGGGTGTAAGACAATGCTGGGAAACACACTGTCTGGCCTAAGAATCTATGGAAAGGGTGAGGAGATAGCAGAATTTGTGTCCATGCAGAACAACTAGTTAGTTTAGTATTCTTTATTTACTTTTAAAAACAGAGATTATTCAAATTTGGCAGCAGAGGGGGGGGGGAAATTATAACATTCTAGTTTGGTGAGGTTTATATTTTAAATATCACAATTTTGAGTAATAGTAAGTAGTTAAATGGAAATTTACAAATCAGTAGCTAATTGTTAAGAGTCATCAACTAAAAGCACAGTCCAAATTCAGACTGACTAAACAGTCACACTGGGAAATAAAATTAACATGTAACTTGTAATTATGAATATTCTTACTGAATCTAAGATATCACTTTTAGACTCCTCCATTCTACTTAAGGGATGCTAGATTACTGCTTCCATTTACATGTGTCAGTCAATCTGTATATGTATGTTTGCATATTTAAAAAATGCAAATTTTCCCTGCTATTCAAAAGTAGAGATTCTTGTAAATTTTCATTAAAATTAATTTTAAAAAAGGAAACATAGATTACATACATATTTTAATTTGTGGAAATAATAAAATTTTCATTAAAGTGAAAATTTAAAAACGTAGAGATTCTTTCTTAATGGAACCTTTTATAAAAGCAGATACAGTATGAAGCCAAGGAGTAATTACCATTCATCCATTCACTTAGGGGAAAATTTTGAGCACCCTCAAACCCAAAATTATCCAACAAAATCATGCCAAACAATAAAGTGTAAAATAAAACGAACAGAGTGTTACACACAGTTCAAACCTCTGGCACTTGATGCTGAGTGTGTTCCTGGAAGGAGCTTGGCAATGCCACTCCTGTTGCTCAGGGTGTGAACTGCCTCTTTAAGGGCTCACTTCTAAACACACACTGAAAGGGGGCTTTGCTTTTTGTAAATGTGAAAATCCTTTTTGGAGTTCTTTCAGTTAATGAAAACAAGTAGTAACATCTTTCATAAAAGTGAAGCAATATAAAGCAAACTTTTGAAAAGCAAGAGACACCTCTAGCAGATTTATTCCATAGCATACACGAGGAAATAACAGATTTGTTCTATTTTAGACACAAAGAATCTATAAAGTACAGAGGATTAATGTTTACAAGAGATAGAAGAAAACACCTATCAAAAATAACGTTTGTAAGCCTCAATGAAAATTTAAGAGAGTTCTGCTCTCTTTTTAAAGGTAGCTGTTTTAAAACAAACTTGCAGTGACATTTGTAAGAATATAACTTACATACACTGTGAATAAGCGGAACATAGCTACCTGTGGTCCTAGTACCAATTTTTCAGCATATTAAAATAGGAAAATTTGCCATTATTTAAAATGTAAAAGAGTTAATACAAAATGAATGGGTTTTAACTCACCAAAGACAGCTTAACTTTCTAATTCCTGGCTGTTTTTTTGTTTTTGTTTTTTAAAATTATAATAACCAGTTTTTAAGGTTGAGTAAATCACTTAAGACATATAAAAATATGATCTTGCAGACAATTTCTAAACCATCCAATCTTCTAAAAAATTGGCAAGTTTGCCTTCCCTCTAAATTCTGACAATCACAAGCAACTTCAAATATATTAACAGAATAATTTTAAATTAATCTGGAAAAATAATAATATGATCTGGAACAGTTATTATAACATAACTAAGATGATTTCTACTGCCAAATTTGGTGACCTAGTTTTGTTAGACTGTTAAGTAACAATCAGCTTTCAAGACTGCAGCCAAAATGGAGAGATTCACCATTCCTGAGGGGTGGGGAGGTGAATGCAAGAAATCAATTAATATTTAATTTAGCTCTGTGAAAAGCTCTTGTTACAAATCGAGTTTGCCCTCTTTTTATTTTACTAAAGATCCCATATGTTAATGAAAAGGTTTACGTGCAAAATGCATAAAAAGGCAGTTATTAGATTAGCAAATAATATTAATGTTCTTTCAAAAAACAACTAAGTTATGATTCTTTTACCTGCTAAAACAAGAACATATATTAAAACAAATATATCAAATAGTAAATAATAATAAGACAAACCACATTAGAAACTGATAGTATAATAAAACTAGTCTAGCACAGAGCAAGGGAAACATTTAGAAGACAATGAGAAGCTCTTTTTAAAACAAGAGGCATCTTAGACAAGAGTCAAGCAAGATAACCGAAGGCCTGAAACACCTTTCACAAAATTGATTTTAAAAGGACATTAGCTCTCACCCTGCAATTAACTATGCCATAAAGGCACTCAAAGTAGGCAATGGACATTTCTGTTATTCTATACTAACAAAGTCCCAAAGCAGCTAATTATTTAAACAATCAAACTCAGTAAGTTGAAAATAACTATGCATAGAATGCAAATAAAAATTTTTATAAACATTTGAACATGTTCTGAAGTGCTTCTTTTTCTCTACTTGATTAAATGCATTTGCTATTTTTTTTTTAAATTTTTTAAAAAATTTATTATTTTTGTTTGTCTGTACCATCAAATCAGATCTGACTGGTACAGGAGGAAACTGTCCCTCCTTCTTCAGCAGAGCATCTGGTGGATTCAAACTGGCGCCTCTGGGATTGCAGTGCAGCTTCTTGCCACTGGACCACCAATGCTCCCTTGTATTTGCTATTTCTTTTCCTGGCCCTGGGCAGGGATTTCCCCCCTCCTAATATTTTATTATTTTATTTTTAAATGAACATTGACAATACATTAAGTTCCCCCTTTAAGAATATTTATACAACTTGTTTCATGGCATTGGTTACCATTTCTATCATCTGTCAACATTCCTGTATTTTCCATTCTGTCTGTACTGTTTCCACTATTGTGGATTCCTTTCCCCTCTTTGTCTTTTACCTATGGTTCTGGGTGACTGGTGATCATTTAGTCTCATATAATTGTTGATGGAATACATTACCCAAGGGCAGTACTGTTTATTTTGTAAACTAATCTATTACTTTGCTGAAGCGTGATCTGCAGAGACAGCTTCAAATTCCATGTTCGAAATTATTTTAAGGAGATAGTTTCCAGGGATTCCCCAGGCCCTTTCAGTTCAGTAGGCATGACTCTTTTAAGTTAAGGAATTTTATTTTACATTTTTCTTTCATTTTATCTGGGACTTTCTATTGTATCCCTGGGCAGACTGGTCTGCATTGGAAGCTGGTGAAGTAACAATTTTTTTATTTTATTTTATTATTTTTTTGTTTGTGTATGTCAAACTCAATCTGACTGGTACAGGAGGAGATTGCCCCTCCTTCTCCAGCAGAGCATCTGCTGGATTCAAACCGCACACCTCTGGGATTGCAGTGCAGCTTCTTGCCACTAGGCCACCAGAGCTCCCTAATGAAGTAACGATTTTTAAAAGACTGGATATATTCCAACAGGTGTTACACTGCTAACCCAAAGGTGGTGCTTCTTTGGTGGTTCAAATCCAACAGCCCGTACATGGAGTAAAGATGAGCACCCTCCTCCTGTGCAGTTTACCTACAGGATGGTCAGCTACGAGTCAATTCTGACTCCAGGGTAATGTCTTTGGACTCTTTTTTGTTTAGAGTATCTTTTCACATTAGAATGACAAATTATATTCAAGTATGCAATAATGTGCAACTGGAGTTAGAGTAAGGTACTTCTCCTTGAAGGTTGTTGTTGATTGTCATCAAGTCATGCATGACTCATAACAACTCTATCATTTTTCCAAGTTCATAGAGTTTCCAGAGGCAAATGGTTTAGGAAGTGGATGCTACTCCCGCTTCCAAACCTGTCTTAAAACTGGGAGCTCCACCAAACACTGTCCACTACTTGGGCATTTGAGACCCCAATAGGACAAGGTTCAGCATTACAGCAAACCCAGATTACCTCGGCACAGCAAACTGAAAGAAGAGTGCTATACGACTTAGAAAAATGGTCCTCCAAAATATAGTAACAAGGGTTTAAAATATAATCCCTCAGGCCCAACTTTTAAATACAAGAGTCACAGTTAAAAGACAAAAACAAAAACCCAATCCTTAATGATTGCAAATTATTGAATTTCTCAATTTCATACAAAGTGGAAAGGCACTAGAATATTAAATTTTTGGTTCAAAAGTAATTAAAATGATAGCTTTCAAATTTTTTCCTTGCTATTTAACTGGTATATCTAAACTAAAGAATTCCTTAAATTTTTTATTTTTATTTTTTTAATTCCTTACATTTTTAAACCTTAGCGTTCAAACTAGTTTCCAATGGCATCTTTTATGCTTGATCAGCCCCTGAACCTATGCTTCTATTTATTTCAAAATTTATGACCCTAACAAACAAACAAACCAAAAACCTCAGAGACACAGAATTTGGCATGGTTTGAGCATCTGACATAGCAGGCTGTATGGCCTCAGATATCTCTCGTTTTATTGCAGACACAGGTTTTAGTCCAAATTATTACTCAAAATACTTGGTCTTAAATATAAAGATTAGACCTTACACACAGCTACTCAGACACTAGGTAAAGCATTAACAATAGGATCTTTTAAAAAGGTAATGGATGTTTGTTGTAAGAATATTTGGCCAGAGGGAAAAAAAAGGATTACAAATCTCTGTATAGTGAAACTATGAAAGGAAGGCAAAATTCACGAGTTTTCATAAACTAAAATGATCTAAGATGAACAAACATCCTAAAGACTAGCAGCTTTTTGCAAGCTTCCCAGGATAACATTAGAAAGTGTGTAATAAAAGGGTGTAAAGAGCCTGGAATTGAGCCCTCTTATTCAACAACTTAATGTCATGGTAAAAAAAAAATAGGTGTAACATTTATTCCAAGTATCCTGGATAGTGTCTGCCCGTTCCATATGCAAAAACGAAGATAATTTTTTGAACAAGAACTCTAGAAACAATTTCCCCTCAATGGTAAGAGCTCAAGTATGTTCAGAAAAGCTATCAACATACATAAAGCATCCTTTTAAACACAAAACAACCATTTCTGGCATTATATGAGTTTTTAAATTTATGAAGATTTATGCACTTTTATGTTCATTTGTACCATTATATAGTGAACATATATTACTATTGTGCATTATATGTTGGACTACTAACCCAAAGGTTAGTGGTTCAAATCTTCCAATCACTCAGTGGTAAAAAGACTTACAGTTTTGGAAATAAGGTAGCCCTTAGAGTAGACTCAAAGGCAAGGGGTAGAATCCTATAAAGATCTGTATCTGTTTAAAAGCAGGCAAAAATTTAAAACAAGACAAGTAAGAGAAATAGTTGCTGTATTAAAACAACTAAATATCATCATATCTACTTGCAAAACTTGAATCAGCACTAGTTTGGGATGGGGTTTTTTTTTATTTTCCAAAGTGTGAATATTTAGCAATACTGAGTTTAAAGACTCTAGAAAGGCTAATTCACACTGCTATTTTAATAGTATGTCATGAGATTTTAAGAAACAGTACCTTTATAACAACTAATATACTTCTACCAAGGATTTTGTATAGCAACTTACTTTCTCATACTATTTGTCACAATCTAATTATCAGTAAAAAAAAAATCTGATTTAACTTTTTCCCTCAAGTTTCCAATGATTTGTTCAATAATTTGTGCTTCCTATTGTTGCTGATATTTAACTTGTTATATATCAAGTCATTGTATGTACAGAGTTCTCTTCAATGATTTGCCTGCTGTTTTTAGTCACTAATATTATAATGTAAAATAATCTATTATGAGAAGTAGAACAAGTCACTGCATTACTCTTAATGAATTTTAGATAAAATAATCTTGTTTATCTTCTACATAAACTTAGAAATACAAATTAAATCTTGTGTTCAAGAAAATAATTCTAAAATAATTTTAAACCAGTTACCAAAAATTGAAAATTAAAATATCTGAGGCTGTGTGCAACTGTGTATTAAATTCAGGAGGGAATAGCAAGTCCATAAGTTATACTTTCCTGTACCATAATATACTGGATATTAGCCCTCTTAATGATGAATCGAAGACCACAGATAATAGGGCTTCAATCATTTAAGAATTTATAACCAGTATGTGTATACATTTGTATGTAGTGTTACTGTAGCTGTTTTTTAGTTCTCAGTGTAATATTACAATTAGTTCTTTTTCTCTTCCTTTACTTACAATAACAGATTAATGTATTTGTTCTAAATCAATTTCATTTGGATTTGGTTGCTTTCTTAATTTTCTATCAAAATATTATAGCTAAGAGAGCATATAGAATGCACTGAGAAGCAAAAAAAAAAATTTATAAGCAATTTGAGAGGGGGAAGCAGTCATTAGTAGCCAATCTTATAGCAGCCCATCATACCAGCAAACACAAAGCAACAAGTATTTAATATTGTTTGGGGCAAGGGCATGCATACATAATGCTAAAAGCTTTCATAACGAAGAAGGGGAAAAGCCATATATTGGAGAGAAGGAAGGTAGTGCAAAAAGTCTATCAGAATCTATGGGACATTCTTTAAACATACCTAAAATATTATAGGTATAACACTATAATCTGAACCTTTCTGAACAATGAATTCTTTTTTGTAAAAATTAAAATAAACAGGCATATGCCAGAAATGTATTATATGAATAGTAAGTAACATACATATTATTTTTCCAAGAAAAGGCCTCTCTATTTCAATTACTCTGGAGAGTGTGTGCAAAAGGCAGCAGGGATAAGTTTTTTATATTAGGACAGTGAAGAAACTTAGGGTGAAAATTTGTATATGGAAAATTAAGAGTCCAGATCAGAGACTCCTCATAATTTAAAATCTCATCAGCTATTAACAAAGATTTCTATCCTCTATTTTGTCCTAGGAAGTCATTTCCATGGCAGATTTTAAAATAGTAATTTATAATGCAGTTATCATTATTAGGTTAAGATACCGAGACTATTTTATTTTGGTTTTATAATATTCTTCTCTTTGATTTCATACCACTTCACAGTGATTCTCAATAAAAGTAAGTACCCTTTAGATAATGTCTGATCTATATTGAAGAAGTTGTTTTTTGTCATTTATATCCTTGGATGAACCATATAAGATTCTCTTTACTAGAAAGTCCACATTTTTGCCTTTGGAAAAAAATTGTGGCTACTGAATATTAAATAAACAAATAAAATATATTTTGTTTCAGGTCTAAGTTTGCACAGCAAATTAGATAAGTCATTATCACTGAACAAAATCTTTAAAGAAAAATACTAACAAGCATATCAACACTGGTATTATCAAATACATACAGCTTTCAATCTTTTTACAGCATCTTCACAGATGTGCATTCCTCTTGATTCATCAACTTCTACATGGCCTAGGTACTGTGGAAAGAAAAAAGAATTTAAAGCTACTGCTATGTTTACTGAACAGCTAGTTATTACCTAGTTGTTGTTGTTATGTACCATCAAGTTGGCTCTGATCCATTTCTGACCCTCCAGCAGGTTTTCAGAGGCAGTAAATCGTACAGGACAAGATTGCCCATCTCTCTCCCACAAAGCCGCTGGTGTATATGAACTGTATACCTTTAGGTTGGAAGCATAGTTCCTTACCATTAGGCGACCAGAGCTCCCTACTACCTAGTACGCATTAAAACAAATCAAATTAGACCCACTATCCTCAAATCTAATTCAATTTATAAGTAACTCTGTAAGACAAATTCAAGTGGTTCCTCAGAGTTTCCAAGGCTATAACTTTAGAAAAAGCAGGCTGCTACATCTTGGTCTCTGGCTGTCAAACCCTTGTTTAATAGCTGAATGCTCTGATAACTGTACCACCTGACTTCTTCATGCTAGGTATTAATTAAACAAGTCCCCAAAGTCCTTGAGTTGGTTCTGACTCATACAACACAGAGTCATTGTAGGAGCATTAATAAAGATAGATATTACTTCTTCACTGTCTTCCAAGACAGGTTTGTTCATTCTTCTGGCAGTCCATGGTATATTCAATATTGTTCACAAATATTGTAATTTATATGAATTCATCTCCAGAATTCTTTATTCATTGTATACGAAGTGATGAAAAGAATCATGGCTTGAGCCAGATGCACCTTAGTGTTCTTTGGCATTTTAAAGCATGTTTGTTGGTTTTGTAGCACTTTAAAGAGGTTCTTGGCAGATCTGCCCAACACTATGCTTTGACTGAAAATCAGCAGGTTCCCAGGTTAAGACAGACTAGGAAGTTCTGAAATAACAGGCTTCTGAAAACCCTATGAATAATAGAGGAATACAGGCATTAGAGGTAGAGCCATGATTCGAAGTCACTCAAAATAAGACGAAATAGCTGTAGGCATCCATTAAATAAGTAGAACATGGAAAGTATGAAGTATGAAAATAGGAAAACAGAAAGTTGTCAAAAAGGAAAAAAAATACATGAAGATCAACATTCTAGGTATTAGTGAATGAGGATGAGTTGGCATTGGCCACTTTCAATCAGTCATATGATTTACTATGCTGGGAATGAAAAACTGTGGAAAAATGGGGTGGCGTTATTAATAAAAAAGATAATTTCAAGATCTATCCTAAAGTATATTCAATACTCTTCTCCAACACCACAGCTCAAAGGCATCACTTCTCCTTCTATCCTCCTTAGTCACTGTGCAGCTCTCTGACACATAGCAAGTAACTGCAAAGACCATGGCCTGTATCAGGCACACCTTAGTCTCCAGTGACACTGCTCTTCAGTACTTTGGAAAGGTCCCTAACAGCAGACTTTCCCATCGCAAAACGTCTTTTAATTTCTTGGCTACTGGTGCCAAGAGTGTTGACTGTGGAGCCAAGCAAACTAAAGCTGTGAATAATCTCAATCTCTTCACCATCCATCCTGATGCTGCCAAGTGGCTCAGTCATGAGAATCTTGGTATTGAGCCTCAATCCATATTGGAGGCTGCAGTCCTTGACCTTCTGCAGCAAGTGCTTCAGGTCCTCCTCACAGGTTGTTGATGAATCTTTCTCCATTTCTGATGCCATAATGGACTGCTAAGAAAATAATGGGTTCATCCTGGAGAAGGTTAAACCAGGCTGCTCCTTAGAGGCCTGGATTCTGAAGCTTCGTCTGACATCCTTTGGACATATTGCAAGGAGGCACCAGTCCTTGGAGGGACAGCGCAGGAGGGGAAGAACCTCTATGAGGTGGATTGACTCAGTGACTGGGGTAATGGGGGTAGGTGTGTTTGAGACAGTGAGATTGGCACAGGATAAAGCAGGGTTTAGGGCTGTTGTACATAGGGTCGCTATGAGTTGCAGGCGACTTGACAACACATAACAACAACAACATCCTAAAGTACAATGTTGTGAGTGCTAGGATATTATCCATATGCATAAAAGGAAGACCTGTGAATACAATTATTATTCAAATATATACACCAACAACTCAAGTCAGAGAGACGAAAACTAACAGTTATCTACCAATTTTTGTAGTTTGAAATTAACCAAAAATGCAATCAAGATGTATTAATTACTGGTGGAAGAAAATTACTGGTGCCTGGAATGCAAAAGTTGGAAACAATGAAGAAGATGAATGGTAGTTGGAAGATCTTGGTGACAGAAATAATGCTGGAGATAAAAGGAATTTTGTATGTTCAATGACTTATCACAAATTCCTTTTTTCAAAAAACACGAAAGGAAACTTTACACATGGACCTGACATGATAGACTTCAGAGAAGTTAGACTGACATCTCTGGAATGAATTGCTGGAGCAGCTCATTATCAGCCATCAAAATCCAGCTAACTGTGGAATAGATGATCAATTACTCATGTGTAAGTTCAAATTAAAGTGGAAGAAAATTGTAACAAGTCCACAAGAATCCAAAATGATCTTGAGTTTATCTTACCTGAATTAAAAAATCAACTAAAGAACAGCTTTGAGGCAATGAACACTAATGACTGAAGACCAGAGGAGCAGTGGGATGATATCATCCAAGAAAAGAGCAAAAGGTCATTACAAACACAGAGAAGGAAGAAAACGTCAAAAGGGACGTCGGAAGAAATGATAACTGTACTAGAGCATTGAGATGCACCCCCCCCAAAATGGAACAATGCCAAAATAAAAGAACTGAACAGAAAAATTCAAAGGGCAGTTCGAGAAGACAAAGCAAAGTATTACAAAGGAATGTAAAGAGAGATGAAGTAAAAATATTACAAAGGAATGTGAAGAGAGGTGAAGTTGGAAAATAAAAAGAACTTGCTCAGCATTTCTGAAGTTGAAAGAATTGAACAAATTCAAGCTGTGCGTATCAAGCTAGGAGTAAAATCTTAAGAGAGCCAGAAAGGATCAAAAGAAGACGGAATACACAGAGTCACAGAAAAAATTCAGGAAGAAATTTCATAAGAAGAGCCAATGGACAAGAACAATAATTTCCCCAATTTCAGGGTAGACTTAAAAACCAACAGCCCCATGAACGAACAAACTCCTGAAGCCATCCTCTTAAAACAATGTTTAAACCTAAAACGAAAAATATCCTGCTAAGTCTTTTTAGAAACTAAGCAATATGGGTGTTTCGAATAGCAAAAGGTGACGGAATAGAAGGAAAATAAAACCCACCACCCAAGAGAGGGTGGGGCGTCTGGGGACAAGTTACAGCGACCCACATGCTTCCTGCTTTTCTTTCCACACAAAGAGGACAACATACATGTTAATTTTTCATCTAAATCAACCACGACTTATTCTGTAATTTCAAGAAACCGCACAACACTGTTGCCATCAAGTCAAATCCAACTAACTTATCGGGATCCTGCTGGACAGAGTAGAGCCAGCTGCCCCTCGGGGTGCCCAGAGTGTCACCTCTCCAGAAGCGGGCTGCCCCTTCTTTCTCCCACAGAGCAGCAGGTGGGCCAAATGGCTGACCTTTTGGTTAGAAGCTTTGACCACTCTTCCACCAGAGCAAAGAAGTTTTGTTTTTGAAACAACCAAATATCAATGCTTTTCAAAGCGGGGGACGTGCCAGAGAAAACAGCAGGGAGTTTGAGTCCAGCGGAGCAGCCCTGACGTGGCGTCCACGCTGCCTCACAGCATCTACAGGACAGAGCGGGAAGCCCTGCATGGCTTCCAAGGCTGGAATCTTTCCTGGAGGAGACTGCATCATCTTCCTCCCACAAAGGAAGCAACTAGAGAGCTTGAACCACCAACCTTACAGAAGCAGTCAGTACTAAACCCACTGCTCCACCAAGGCTCGGAAATCAAGTGCACAACTGTGTGAATCCGTCCTCCAGCCCTGGAACGAAAGGCTGGATCAATCAAAGTGACTCAAAAGTCAAACGCACACCTTATTCCCAAGAGACTGTCAAAGGCATGGAGGTCTAACACATTACAGAGATTGACCCAGGAAGGGAAAATTACAGTGAAATCCTGGAAATGTACACAACTCAACAACAAAACCCTTCAAGGATCTGTGACCAAAAGTGTAAACATGAAGATTAATCAGCATATTATACTATTTTTTAAACACAGAAATACTATAAAAAAGGAAAATTTAATATATAAGTTTTCATACTTAATAAAAAAATATCTGTATAAGTCAGTGTAAAAAAACCACAAAAAAACCAAGCAATAATACAATTTAATTAGTTAAAAATAACTACCAAGCTGCTGTCCCTGCTCCCCTAATATAGACTTCGACTTTTAAGAATCTGTACATAACTTAAAATTTTGTGAGGAAAATAAGAATAGCCAATAAAAGCTTTGATGTTAAAAAATAAAAAAAAAAGAAGAAGAAGAGCCAATGGTAATGAAGGGAAACGTTCATGCTGCACTAAAGATACTGGCTAAAAGTAAGACCTCAGGAAGCAATGGGATATAGACATGTTTCAAATAACAGTGCAGCCCTGGACATGCTCACTACTCTATGCCAGAAAATTCAGAGGAGAGCTGCTTGGCTGATCAATGAGACAAGGTCATATTTGTTCCCATTCCCAAGAAAGGTGATCCAACAGAATGTGGAAATTATTAAATAATATCATTAACATTACATGTAAGCAAAATATTGCTAAAGATTATTCAACAATGACTAGAACTACATTGACAAGAGAACTTCTAGAAGTTCAAGTTAGGTTTAAAAAATAACATGGTCTCAGAAAGATCACTGCTGATGTCAGGTGGTTTCTGGCTGAACGCAAAGAATTCCAGAAGAATGCCTATCTATGTTTTATCAATTATACAATGGCATTTGACTATGTAAATCATAACAAATTTTGAGAATGGGAATCCCAGAACAATTAGCTGTATTCATGCTAAATCTAGATGTAGACCAAGAAGCTGTTGTCTACACAGAGCAAGGGAACACTACATGTTTTAAAATCAGGAGAGGTACACATCTGGGTTGTATCC